CCACGCTGCTTTTGCCACAACTCAGGATGAGGTTGAAGGTCTGTCACTAATACCTCACAGTACTTAGTTTCTTCACTAACTCTTCATTATTTCCTAAGAGAGTAAAAGCAAATGTCTACTTTTTATTAATATTTTATGAAATGTATAGAGGCTAAAAGAGTTAAAATATTAACAGGTTGCCCAACTGCAATCTCCTTTTAGGCTGCTGCATTTTCCAATATGTCTAACAGATTGCTAACAGGAATTTCTGCTTTAGGTGTAAGGCAAATGTGCTCCTTTTCATGACTTTTTACATTTCTCTCTTTCTACATTTCTCAACTTTTTACATTTCTTTTGTTTATGGGTAAATCTGCCAAACACTGTTACACAGTTGCAGTCTCAAATTTTTTCTTCATCTTCTTCCAGATGGAGTTGGTAGCTTCCTCATGCTAGCAGGTGCATGAAAATTAATTCCAGAGGGAGAATTGTTTTCTCCAGTCTGACTAATCTGTTATGAACTGTTAGATGCCATTGACTCTGTTGAGCTCTGTAATGTGTGCTCAGCCAATACGTGCTTTCCAGCAAGGCCTCCACGGTTGCTTGGAAGTGACACAAAGACGGAAACTCCACCACTTCCTTTAACAATTTTTCCAGTAGTTAGTCAGCCTCACTGTTACAAATTTGTGCTTTATTCCTAATTAGAACTTGTCTGGCATCAATTTCCAGCCAGTGGTGATGCTCAGCACAGAGGTGGATGCCTCTTAGGTCTCTCACTCTTTCTGTCACATAATTGATTTTCTATGAATATCATAAAGTAAGGCTGAAATTAGCCCAGCAAAGCAATAAAAGACAGGTTAGATCAAGGAGTCTTCCTGTATGATATGAAGGTAATTTTTTATCCTATTTATTCTAATATTCTATTGAGCTTTGCATCAAGTTAGTGGATACTCTTTAACCGTGACTTCCTCTGAGGCAGCACATTGTTGATGCTAATACTGAGAAAATATATTAATCATTTGGCCTCTGGCACACTCTGCTCTCGGTCTCTCCAAGCTCATTCTCCCATTTCTCAACAGGATGGTAATCGACATGCAATTTCTCTGTATCACTGATGGCTCAGACATGCATAATCCGGATCTCTGTTCCACAAATGTGGGCTTGTAAAACCAGTGCCTCTGGATTGCTTTAGGCTCCTCTGCATGTAGGTACACATCTCTTGTACGTGTAATCTCATTGTGCAGGCACAGGGATGCATATGCAGATGCTCTCAGGCACTACATCTCGTTTAGATAATAGCATTAGCTGATAACAGTTGATTTACAAGGTCTCTTGATGTTTTCATTGAGTGGATCATTTATGCACTTTTATTTATTTTTGAAATGTTTGCTGTTTAGGTCTAGTTGCAGCTCTTACAGAGAAGGCTGAAGTTTTATAGCTCAGAATCCAAGGAATAAAAATGAAACACAAGGTTCATCAGGTTGGACAGTAATTTGGTAATTAATGGTACTCAGTGCTTTCCCATACACCTGAAAATCCAAACTGACGGAAAGTCTCTAAAGTATTTTTCTGGAGAGAGGCCAGTGGGGCTATAAATTTGATCATGACAGATTTCCTGGTCCAGGATGCAGTTTGTGGTCAGGAGGATGTATTGATAGCATACCAGAATAAGCAAGCACCAGAAAGTCAGATTTTGTGCATCCTTTATATTCCAGCATTGGATCTTTCAGCTCTCCCACACCTCATGTATGTATTTCAGCAATCTCAGTGTGGAGTCTATTTCTTTCAGCTATTGGATCTGTTCCACTTGGTTTAAATAAAGGTCCTAACTCTGGAAATGTTGGCATGTCAGAAACTTCCTAAATTCAGTATCAGAAAAGACCATATTTCAAAGTTTGTGCAGATCAAAATTAAAGAAAAATTTTGGTTTGGGAAATTTCAGGAGAAGCAGGTGTAAAAGTATTTAAAAATATTTTTTTCTCTTTTTATATTCTTGCTATTATTAACACTGTTACCTAAATTTAATCTTTCTTTTAATTATCAGAGATAATTACTGATACAGATTACTACAGGGCATAGCAGCCTATTACTGTTATTGCACGTAGCACTGCAATCCTGTCTGCTTTCCCCTTGACTGCACCATGGATTAAACTTTCAAGGCTGACCATTACAAACATAAGAACATCAGAAAAAAATATGTTGTGTGGTTTTTGATAATGTTAGCTTTGAAGTAATAGCATAATATAGAGCTAGTGGCACACCTCATATTAGCTTTTTTTCTAGTTTGGTACCGTAGTATTTTCTGTCCTATAAAAACATCATGAGTTCTATGTCCATCACCATTATAATAATAAAAAAATAATGTGGGGTGGGTTGGGGTTTCTTCCAAGTCACAAGGGATATGCTAGCAAAAATTTGATTAAAATATCCATTGCAAGAAATTGGGAATGTGAGTGCAACCCCTTTACTCTTCTCACTTTCTTTATGTGCCAGAAGGTATTGCTCTATGTGTGGGTTGACGAAAAACAAAAAAGTTTTAGTAAAATCTAGACAGAATGCCAAATGCCGGTGCTGCCTTGGTAGCACAGTTGTGATCAGTAATAGCTTATCCAATCTCAAATAAAGCAAAACAATTCAAAACATTAATACAAGTATCTGTTTATCTCTCCTCTGCTAAAAAGCTACTTATTGATTTCTTTCCTCTGCTATTATAGTAGCAAAATTTGAAATGTTTTGAAAACATCCCTTAGAGCCACACAACAATAATTAACAGCATAGCAAGTGCTGAGCAGCAAGTAGCTGATAATGACAGAGTCTAATGTCAACTGAATGCAATTAATCATTGATACTACCCATGGAGCTTTGGATTTATGCTCAGCTATTACAAAGCATTGATGAGGTCCCCTCTCGATCTTTCACAATGTATGTGTTAAGAGTAACCCTTCACATGAGCAGGAGAAAGCAGAAGGAATGCTTTGAGACTTGCATTTCTTAATATGTTTGCTGTCACTCTGTTGAGCAGCGAGTGGCTGCTATTCTCGGAGGAAGGCAGTATCACAGAGGAGCAGGAGCAGTTCATCCCTCTAATCTTTCCAGCAGACAAGACAACGTGCAATATATATGTGGTCCCAAACTGGCAAGTAAGTGCCAGTGTGAGATACAGGATACCTTTACATAACTTAAAAATTACCTTTCTTTGTACAGTCTTGCTTAGGTTAAGCAGTGATCAGGGCTGTGTGCATAGCAGTGACTTTATAATTTGTATAAAATCCATTCTTTTTCTTCTCTGTTTTTTCTGCCATCATGCTCCACTTGAGCAGTCCACACTAATGGCTCTTTGGCCCTTGAGAACTTACTAGTTTCTTAACCCTGAAGTGAGTTCAGAGCAAATGAAGGGCACAAGTGTTTGTCATTTTGCAGCACACTTTCAGCTCAAAACTCTTCATGGATGATCCTGAAACTCTTCATGGATGAGTAAAGAGGATCTCAGTATTTTCAACTGTATCTCTCAATTCAAACACAACTCACAGTCTTTCTCCCCAAGAAAGTTAACAGAGGAAATAGTGACTTTTAAAACTTCTAAACTGAAGGATGCTAGGTGTGCATTCCTAGACTACCCATATCCCCTGTATACAAAAGTCTGCTTTAACTTCAAAATTGAATGCAAAGAAGATAATAGGTCAAAAAGATGAGTAATGATTGTTGACATGGATGGAAGGGCTTTTCAAGACTGACTTTGAAGCTGGCCTCTCAAAACTCTTTTGGTGATAAAGACACAGCTACAGTCAGAACCCTTTCTTATTGCTGTCTCTGCCTCTTTTTTAGAGTTCACAGTAAGCCTGTGGAGCATGAATATGAAAAGCTGTCTAAGAACTGGATTCCATACCTGACCTGATACTGCAGCAAAAAGAGAAAACCTGCACTGAAGTGTGGAGGGTTTTATTTATTAATTTATTGACTTTGGAGCATGTGAAATGAGTGTACTTAAACTGAAGAATATGTAAATTTATAAAGTTTAGGGAAAAAAAAGTATTAAACTGAGGGAATGGAAAGGAAAACTCCCATGTGGCCAGAATTCCTCAGCTGAATTTCCTCAAAACTGGAGCATTTGATATGAACAGTTGTTTTCAGTAGGATATTATATGATATGCAACTTTTGTCTAACGTTCTGAGGTAACTACTACCTCTCAAGGCAATTTCATAAGAAAAGTTGAGAAAACAAAGCAAGAAATAAGATTTACAATATTTCTTTCTAAAGAATGCTTGGGTTTGGGTTTTTTTTTATTGTCATTTCTCTTTCAAGCCATTCCTCCATAGTGCTTTGGAGAGTGATAGATAACCATTGCTCTCCTAATGCCTTGCTTTAAGTGAAATGTGATTCCCTTGTGCCTGATTTTCACAGCTAAATAGAAAAATGCAACTCACTGGAAATTCAATTTTCAGACAAGACATAAAACTTCAGAGCATGGGTGGTAATTACAGAGTCTACATAACATTCCAGAGAAGTAGAAAGTCCTTATTCCAATTTCTTAATCATCTTGTATTCATGGTTTTTCAGTAGTCCTGCATATTCCACTGAGTTTCTTTTAATATCATCTTTCTGAATAGAATGGTCTTTTTTTACAAACATGAAACAAAGGAAATAATTTCTTGGGTAAGTACCATATGACAATAAACAAGCAGAATAAAAAACAACCAGTAGAGAAGACTGAACTTTCAGTCTATTGAAATATTGTTTTCACAGAAAAATAATATTTTTTAAATCTCCTGTGCCTCCATAACTAAATAAATAAGCAGCAAAACCAATAGAAGTCAGCCAAATAATTAATCAGGGTGTTTTGAGTAAAGGGAAAATTTAATTATGAAGGTTTGTTTTTTTTTTTCAAGGATGGTATTTGTCATGTGTCATTCTAGTTGAATCAAAGTAAGAGACATCTTTAGTACCACAGATACCTGTAAGGTGAAATTACAATTTTCCTTCCTATCATCTATCATTTTCTGTCTTAGGATTTTTTTTCATGTAATTCAGTGTAGCCCTCCTGAAAACAAGAGGGTTATCCAAACATTTTTTCTTCTATGCATATCTTCTTGATTTTACTCTTTACTGAACTGAAATCTGTGAGTCTTGTCATTGGTGTTAGTGGAAGCACTAACAAGAGATTTTTTTCAGATCAAATGTCTATCTATCTATCTATCTATCTATCTATCTATCTATCTATCTATCTATCCTATGGGCATAGGATTCATATTTTTCCTTTTGTTTGCATATCAAAATCATAAAAATACAACTGCTTGTTCAAGACAAGGAATTGTGAAGTATCAGTACCATACCAGTTATACAACCTGGGTTTTTTTTCTGTCTTATCACCTATTATCAGCACTTATTTCACATGTCCCCATCACAGAGCAAATGCCAGACAAGCTTTATAATTCTGCATCTTTTTCTGCCATACCTAAAACCATTGTCCTTTTATTTCTCTGAGAGTGGCTGCCATGAGTCTGAATTAATGACTCCATATGTGTGTTATGTTCATGATGGACATTTAGTCTTCCAGGTATAATTTCCTGTAAAGAAAAGTAATTTTATTTCCAGCTGAATAGGCACTCTATCATACTACCCAAATCAAACAGTTATTATTTGGCTTTTTGCCAAGTCGTACAGTATAAAAGGTCATATTTTTAATAGCTTTGTGCTCCATGGTAATCAAATTTGTAAGCCTGGAGAAATAAACAACTTGAATATTCTAGAGTTCTCTGTGCACTTTTAACCATTGCTGTTCTGTTTGTATGGCTCCCTCTTGTATTAGCTTTGTATGGTAAGGTAGAACCTCCTATTCATACAAGAGCAGGGCTACCTGATTTGAACTATTTGTTGCTAAACTCCAGTTTTGGGGACTAAAAGGTACTCTTTATCAGGAACCTGCTGACAGGCAAGCAAGGTTTCATTAGTGTAAACCTGGGAGCATATAAGTGTTAATAACTTGCTTGAATCAACAATAATTAGAAAGAACACCTGCTTTTAAAAGTCATTTTTCTTCCAGTTGACTGGGCATTGCATTTGTGGGAAACGGATGCTGATTACATGTAAATGAAATTTCTAAGGTTTCCTTGTATTTAATTTATTTTAAATAATCATGCCCTGTTGTGCATCAAGAATAATCCAGTTCAGTTATTGTTCAGCAACACCTGCATGTTAAAAAAAAAAAAATAGCTGTAAAGCTGCGAATCCTTGAAAAGTCCAGAGGAAAAGAGAAAATTTTGCATCAGTACTCAGTTATCTATCTTCTCAAACATTAGATTAACCTGAGGTTTTTGTGATTTTATAATAGCATTTGTTATGAATTGGCTTAGAGTCAAGGTACGATCTGACTGGTGAGAGGAGATGAATTATTAACCTGTAACACAAGGGCTGGGAATTGAGGCTGCCAGGCAGGACTCTTAGTGTGATGGGTATTGATGACTTCTTGATGGAGAGCTTTTTGTCTGTCTCAATAGCTGAGGCTAGTTGCAATAGCCACACTGCTTTGGTACTTCCTTGGTCAATGCTTTCATTGACCTTTTCCAGTTTCTTTCCTGAATTTTACCTTGCCTTCTGTTTGGGGGTCAGAAGTGGAGGTCTTCAACCTTTGGCCACATTTCCTGACCTTTAGAGTAAGGCAAAACTCCAGTCCTAGCCATCAGTTTAAATTGTATTTCTTGCATTGAATTGCCCAAATAGTACTATTTTTAGCAGTACTTTTTAGTACTATAATAAATCCATTTAGGATTTATTCAGAAAACCTAAACAATATTGTCATGGAGACAGAAATCTTGCTCACCTGTTACAGATTTCATTGCTACAGTGCACTGCTAGAATTGCAGTTTGTGTTTTGCTTATACAGCATTCCCTACAAAATTTGAATTCAAATTGCTTAAAAGTGATAATTTAAACTGCATTGTTAAACATGTTACATGATGTAACCCCCTTATTCAAAGTGAAAGAGTTCTTCACTGTATTTAGCTTAATTCACTTTGGAAATGTCCATATAGAATTGCAATGCATTTTAATTGGTCAGATGTAAAAGCTCCTCCAGTGTACCTCACCTGAGTATTGCTCAGGTATTACCTGAGTATTCTCTGTCTAGAACCTTACCTGGGTATTCTCTGTCTAGAACAGGTTCTCTGATAAAAGGTCTGGCTGTGCCAAACTGTTCTTTAATAACTTTAGAGAAGCAGCTAGGTGTTTTACCTGTGCTGAACAGTGCTTGCCTCGTGACTGAGATTGACAGCAGAATCCTGTAGTGCTCAGGACTCACCCCACAATGACAGACATTGTCTGCTCCAGAGTCATCCAGACTCTCTCCTGGAACTGCAGGAAAGCCAAAACCAGCCTGCTCTCTGCCAGCACAGTGGCCAGAGGGTCCTGCTTTGCATTTTGAGTAAGTAGGTCAGAAAAAATGGTTTTTGTGAGGTGAGCCTGCATAACTTAGGAAATCCTCATTTGTGGAGAATTAAATGGATGCTCCAATCTTTGACAAAGGTTCTTCAGAAATAGGGTCTTCAGTTGTGCATTGAGGAACGAGGAAAAAGCAGTGCAGTTTGAGTTTTATTCCTTTTTCTTAGCTCTCTGGATTGTAGCCATCTTTTTTTCCAGTCAATATATTTTCCTGTCTACTGAAGCTTTGTAAAAACAATGCTTTTGGTTCAGAGTTGTTTTTCCCTTTCTTTGAAAGTAAATAAATTCTTCCTGTGTCAACTTATTCTAATCTACATTTTAGTTTCAACCAATTATCCACAAGTAAGTTGCATCATCACATAGAGGATGGGATTTAACTGAACAAAAGTATCAGCAGATTCTTGATATTTGAAATAAGGCATCACAAAAATTTAACACACATGAAATGAAGTCATGAATGTAATTGCATTCAGAGTTCTGTGACTTCATGTTCATAATAAGATCACCATCATTTTGGTGCTGACTAGGTATTGAGCTTCAAAAATCATTCTCCTGAGATGCAATTGCAAATATTTACAAGATAAGATTTTTTTTTTTGCCTATAGATAAATTTAAACATGCACAACTCTGTTCCAACAAGAGATACTAGATTGAAATCTTTGAAGAGGTAAGTAATATTTCCATTAAGGGTAAGTTGCCTTCTGATGCTTTCAACAGAATGAATTAAATCTCTGAGTGAATATTTTAATTGACAAAAGGCTGATTTTAAATACTTCCTCTGTTTTGTAGGGAAGGCTGCAGGCTGTGACTGCTCTGCGGGCAGAGTGGTTGTGTACAGTCAAACAAACAGCCTGTGACACTGACACATCACTCGTGTGGCAGCTCCATTCTGGATGAGGTGATTGATTGTAGTCCTCTTCCAAGGGATGCTGTGGATAGACACAGTGTGGCTGCAGCCAGGCAATTAAAAAAAAAAAAAAAATAAAAGGTAGCTTGAAAAATTTCCCCTTTTAAGAAGTGTAGGCTGACTCACTGGTTAAACTCTGAAAGAATGATTAACACTTGATACATCCATCCTTGTGAAGACTGTGGTAGAATACCTTAAATTTTCATATATTTTGCTGTTTCTCTCCAAAGATGTCTGTGAATCTGTTCCTTACTGGCCCGTGTACCAAAATGTTACATGACATCACTACCTTTCCCCCTTTGGCTGCTATTATAATAAAAATGCGGCGAACCCCGAATGCGGGAAGAAATGAAGATGTCTGGCTCCAGATCAGAAGGATGAAGGATAGCTTTATTAAAACTATACTAAATTACATTAATATACAATTTGAAGAGATACTATACTCTTCTACATACTTCTTACTTACCAAAACTCATGACTCTCTGGTGAGAGTCAGAGCCACTACTGGATCCAATTGGTCACTGAACCCAAAAAACCTTCACCAGAATCCAACCCAGCAATCACTGCAGGTAAACAATCTCCACACCACATTCCACATGGGGAGAACAAAGGAGCAGAGATAAAGCTTGTTTTCTCTTTTCTCTGTGCTTCTTCTGAGAGACAGAATTATGTCTCTCTGTCCAGAGAATGTAAATGTCACATACTATTTCTCTTCTTCTTGGACTGGAGATACATATATATTAAATCAATTTCTAATGTATGTCACACAGTTACATTAACAGTTTCTCTAACAGTAAGAGATGGTGCTGTTGACAAGTGTCAGGCAAGCCTGTTCCTGCTCCCCCAAGCACTGTGGGAAAAGGTTACAGCACCAAGCAGCTGTGCAGTTAATTGTTTGCCTGTAAAAGTCTGATGGACTGCATGATACTGCAAGTGATATGTATCCAAACCTAAAGAGAAATCACTTACTGTTACCTTAATTGGAATCATTTGTATGGCTAAAGAAGTAAATTATTCCCTTAAGACTTCAGACTGCAGTGTGTAACTTTGGGCAGCCCATGTAGGCATTTTGTGAGGGCACAGGCTCCAGAGCAGTCAAAAAATGAGTGTGATATTCAGTGAAGGAACTGTCATACTCTAAATTAAAACATTTCAGCAAACAAAGGAAAATATTAATTGTGCTCTCATCCAAAACCTAAGTAATGTTGTTGTGAATGTGCTTCTAGTTGTTTGGGTCACAAGGTGTTGCTGGTACAACAGATGTTCTGGAAAGGAAGTATTTGTGTTTAAAGGCATTTGAGAAACACAGAGAGTCACAAAATGGAAAAGTAGAACAAAGAGATAGGTGGGGAGCAAGGGACAGGGCAAGGTTTCTTTTACTTGGTTTCCTTTCCTGTTCTACTTAAACATTTGTGTTGCAACAGGGAGACAGCAAATGGTTAACAGCCAAAGACAAAACCCACTGTGACCGTCAGGTCTCTGTGCAATCATCAGCAGAACTAGCTATTCTAGCCAATTTAATAGCTTGAAAATGAACTCATTAGTGGTCTTTTATCAGTGGAAAAAAGTCTATTAAATCCGGATGTGTGAAGAAGCAGTACAGAGGCTCATTTCCATCCCACTTGTGACCTGAACAAATCAGAGAAATGCTTTTCAAGGAACAGGGTCAGGCTTGACTGCAATAAGATATTTTCTACGCACAGCACCCAACTTGTATCTTTCCTTCAAGTTTCTGATGCAGTTAATTTTAATTTACAGTCTATTTGTCACTCCCCACATCTCTCCCTCTCACCTCCTTCCCAGTACCACTGTCATCCATAAACATGTGGCCTGTTTATACTTTATAAAGAGAAAATGTACTACAGTCTGTTGGATTTTTTGATAAACCTTCCCAGTGATGGCCTTCTGACAGCTCTGGACTTCTCATTGTGTGAGGGAGTAAGTAAAGATTCAGATCCTCATCTGGAAGGTAAAGACTGCAGCAGAAACACTGATTTAAATCAGTTTGTGATCCAGCTGGAGCTGTGGACAGAGGCAAAACATAGTCCAGACTTCTTTCCTGCCCCTTTGGAGAGCAGAAAACCAAGTGTGAAGTGTATGAGATGTACATCCTCCAAAAGAGGCAAAAGCAACTGTTTCTGTCAGGATATTGACTTTGTTCTGGAATTGTCTGAAAATTATCTGTGACAAGCTTTTCTGCAGTTTTTGCTTCTGGCATGATGCACAATCTTAAGTGGCCTAAGGAACCTGAGACTCAAGTACACATTGCCCTCAGAAGGTGGTAAATCCATGGGATAATGGTAACAGTCCACAGTGAGTTTTAAACCTTCAACCTCTTGAGGAGACAAGCACTAACGACTGTCATTGACAGAAATGTTCAAAAAACATCTCACGTCTTGTCATGAATTATTTAATTATCTTTATAGAACTAAATAAATCTAAAAACAACTGCTTCAAATGCTTCTAAAGGACTGCATTTCCACAAGGAGTGATGCTGTTGTTCCTAGAGAGCTGTAGCTTTCCTTGCATACATAGTGGAATAGCACTGTCTTCAACATTCTGTGGGAAAGGCTTTTATTTCACTTTTTCCTTGCAACTATTTGGTCAAAAGTTAAACTCATAATGGAATTAATTTATTTTTTTTATTTAATTCAAGACATTTTATGCACATGTATTTAAACTTACATTACTTAATAATATACTAGGATTACTTAATGGCCTCTCATCCTGCCCTGAAACATAACCCTATTATTCCAGTCTTAGCTCTCTTATGAATAGAAAATCCCAGCTATGATAAATTCCTTTAAAATGATGCTGGGATTTTACAGTGAGTCTGTGGGCTAGTTTGAGACCACCAAACTCATTTACTGCTGTCTGTTAAGCCAAGCATAAATCACAGATCTCTGGGGTGGAAATTCGCTTTATTAACCCCCTGGGTCACCCAGCTACCAAGGCAACGGCTTTCTGCAATGAGTAACTCCATAACTAAAGCATCAGCCACATGAAATCCAAATCCCTTGATTAGAACAGGGGCTGGTAAACCTCAAACCGGGCACATAAATACTTTCCAGAAGTTTGTTTAGCTCTTAGCAGAAGCAGTTCTCCTTCACTTGGTTTGAAAGGAACAAAATTGAAAATTGTTTCCCAGCCTGCTTTACCAGCCCAGAGCCTGCCTGATAACTTGATTCACATCTCAGCCTCACAGCACTCTGCAACAATTCTCTGTCTTTGCCTTGTGTGCTCCTTCTTGCATGCCCTGGTCCTGGGGGATGCCCGTCAGTCCGGGATATCTGGCCATGTTATTAGCTTGTCTTGCAGATGCTGAAAAAGAGCCTATCATGCATTTTATTGTGTTTCAGAAGATGAGACACAGGGGATGCTTTATCCCATGCAGTCCAAACTTAAATACAATTGGAATTAGTCTTTATTTAATGTTCTAAATTAAGCAGAAATCTCCTTTACCTAGGAAAAGTGATCCACCCTGTTAGGACTTCTGAAGTCTGGTTTAATTGCTGGATCTCTCTCTAAGGCATAAAAAAGGTCATAGTATTACAAGAATATGGTAGCCAGGAAAATTTGGTTGAACAGATAACTTTCTGTCTGATTTAAGGTGTTAAGGTTTGTGTCCTTGTGCAGCAGTAGCTGTCCTGCAGCTCAGGCACAGCACCCTTGGACAGGTACCATTATTACAGAGCATTGCTCAATCTGCTTTCTCACTGAGGCTTTTGACATGCTGTAAATTTGTTTGCAAAATTCCACTGTGCTTTACTTAGCACATCTATAGACCATCAGATATGTGCATTTGTTGCTGAGAAGTAATTTTATATTGTCTGTACCCCCATTTTTATGTTTCAAAGTCTTTCTCCACACATCACTGGGAATGTTAAGCTCTCACAAGGCAAGGGGAGAGAGCCATTTAAATAACATGTGTACAGATAACATGCTGGCTTTTATTCTTTGTTCTCACAAAGTGTGTACTGTACAAGAAAGGAATATGGTCACCTATCCCCTTACTGGAGAAACTGTCATTTCTAATTCATTTACACAGGATGCCTAAGATGCCTTGAGCAAACTAAAATAGCTTTAAAGGAAAACTAATCTAGTTTGACTGGAGAAAACTAGTAATTTTTCTGGAAGTGTAACACATTTGTTAAAGAAAGAGGTTGTGCTGCTTTGTGCAGGACTCTTAACAAAATCTTTTTCCATGCTTTGCCCTCCCCATGGTGGATGATTGACAGCACCAAGCACCATGCAAGCCACGGTGGTGCTGGATGCTCTTGATGCTCATTTTGGATCTGGCTAGGGCCATGCAAGGTGGCAGGTGATGTCCCTGCCCACTGTGGCAGGGCAGTGGTGCCAGCTTTGGGTGCCTCCCAGCAATCCAGCTGGGAGAAATGAAGGAGCAGGACCTCTGTGCCAAGAGGGAGGAGCGCTCTGGCAGGGTGGGCACTGCAGAGAGGCAGAGCTGCTCGGGAGTGAGCGGATCCCATGCTGATTCCACAGGACATTCCCTGTCACCCTGCCTCAGCTGGATGTCTTGAGCCTTCTCTGCTGCAGAGTTGTGGAAGAGTGAGTGTTGGGTGAGAAAACATAATTCTGCTTGCTTTTCTTCTCACATCTCAGGGAGCCCCATTTCTATGTCTATTTTGTTGAAGGATTTTGACTTTGCTGCTCTGTGAATAGGTACCCAAAGCAGTGTTTTTTCTTAGGGCACTAGTGGAAGTACTTTGTAGAAATTATCACTTTTTTCCATTAAACTGACCAATTTACTTTTTTTTTTGAAAGGACAGAAACACAATACTGACATGTTCTTCTGATACGTGCTGCTCTCTGTCAGTGTGGTGGCAATGTCCATGTGCTGTTCCTCAAAAAAACAGATTTAATTAATTAATTAAAGGCTAATGTATCAAAGTAGCAACCCTTCTTTATGTGGATGAAGAATACCACAACTGTCTTTTCAATGGCTGTTGTGATAGTATTTAATGATGTTGTATAAGGGCAATATCACTATTTATAGAGTATTTTTGTCATAGAATCATAGAATGGTTTGGGCTGGAAGAGACCTTAAAGAGCATCTCGTTCCAAGCCCCTTGCATGGGCAGGGACATATTCCACTAGAGCGAGATAATTTTTAAAGGCACAAAGTGTTTTTAAGGGCTGATTTTTGTCCTTTGTATTCATGGACTTGATGATCTTAAAGGTCTTTTCCAACCTTAATGAATCTGTGTTTCTACAGAAAATATTTGCACTTCTCTCCTGAAAATGTATTCCAGGGAAAAGTCAGGGGCACAGTCAATTTTGAAATTTCAAATGTGCCTAAAAAAAACCCAACCAACCAGCCAAATCCCAAAATGTATGATTGGGTTTGTTTTTTTTTAAAAAGAGAACTACAAGCTCCCATGATTTCTCATGGAAAAACCTTGAGATGTTGCACTGGTTGTAAATAAAGCTTTTTAGAAATAAGGTGAACAGACTTCAGTCTTTATTTTTGGACTATAAAAATATTCCAAAATTTTGTCCTGGGTCAATGAAGAAATATTATTTGGAAAATATTTACACAAAAGCAGTTTGAAAAAAAAAAAAAAAGGGTATTTATCCATATAAATGTTTTTTAAAAAAATCTGTACTTTGTATATATAGCATCTCAATTTTCTTTATAGCTCTGCAAATCACCCTGCCATAGAACATGTTATGGATATTCAGAGCTAGGCATTGCTGCATAGTTTAGATATTTGTTCTCATACCTCACCCTGAAAAGACATTAAGTGAACCCTCATAGATGCCCGTGCCCGTACTTATCCCTAATGTTGTCTTCTGTGCAAACATAAGTGGTCTGTGTGTGCTAAAATAGCTGCACTAGTTGCACAGCACCTGCTGTGCAGGTTAGTGTGTGTTACATAGCAGCAACACCAAAATGGATAGATGTGTTACATAGCAGCAGTATAAAAATGGATATTTTCTAGGCAGGAGTCTTTCTGGGTTCTGATTTGAATTCTCTAAGATAACCATGTTTATTCATCATAGTTTTTAGAGCATGAGGCTCTTAAAGAAACACATAGGTCATAGGTTGCCATGGTCATCCAGAAGGTCACATCCTTATATTTAGATTACTGGTGTTGTATGCAACCTAGCACTATTTTAAAGTGGTTATTATTAGGTGTGTTTTTATGTTATTGTTTTGTTAGAATTTCATTATTACAGTAGTGCATTAGATTCAAATAGCTTTTCTCTGTTCCCTGTTCTGCTGACCAGCTGCACCTGAACAGCAGTTCAGGACATGCTTAAAAAAATGTACCTTTTGTTCTGCGTTCATGAGGAAAAAGAATTAGACTGTCTGATGAGATGGGACTGAACTGTTGCAAAAATCCCCAAACAATGGTGAATTCTACCTCCTTAAAAAAAAAGTGCATCTCATTAGTCCTCTGCTGTCATTTCCTGCAGGTTATCAGCTTTAGAGAACTCCTTTGAAGTGTCATATAGCTGGTTTTAAAATAGGAAGAAATTATCTTGGAACTTTTGAAGAATATTGGCATTTTTTCTTTAATGAATTAGAAGCTGAAAGAAGACAATAGAAAAAAAAAAAAGTGTCTTGTCTCGCCTCCCTGCTCCATCAGAACGCTGTCCTTTAGACAAGATCTTTCAGGGATACACTGTCTCCTGACTGTTATGGCTTATACCATAGAGAAACACCTATGAAAAGCTGAGAAAAGCAATGTTGTTCCACCAGTCTGCAGGCTACTGTAAGTATTTATATGGTCATGTAAAGATTCCTAAATAAATTACAATTATACTGAAAAGATGACTGTAGTATCTGATAATGACTTATATTTCTGATACCCCAATGTCAAAATTTTCCTCTTCAGACAGATGAATTTCATGCAACTGTTATAGACAGAGAAAATGTAGTAGCTGTAACTCTTGTGTTGCTCCTGTCTAATAAGACTGAGCTTTGGCAAAGTGATTGCATGATTATTTTGATTTAAAGGAAAGAAAGGTCGTATTTTTCCTGAACAGAATTGTGTCTGTGGAGGAACATATTATGTAATGCTGCCTGCATTTAAGGACCAAAAGGATCTTAAGATAGTACTGATTTAATCTGATGAGTAGGTTTTCTGTTGCAGCCATTATTAATTGGAGTTATCACTACAGCACTGAATGTTCTCCTTATTCCTGAAAATTATTTTGGCATAATTGGTTCACTCTGACTTCAGTCTACCTTTTTATAGCCACTGTGAGTCCTGGGCAGCAGAGTCTGAGAGGTGAGAGGTGAGACATACTCACAGACGAGTATCACTGTAGCAGAGGAATGCACAAAGCACAAACATTAAACGTGTGTGAGTGACAGGAAATCGCTCAGGCATCGCTCTGTATCTTCCACCGTCAGAGTCCAGCTGGCAAAAAACTCTTTGGCAAAAGACCCATCCCAGAGCTGCTGCTGCTGCTTTTGCTGCTGCTGTTGGCCACAAACAGGGGCAAGCACAGCACAGCTTTGGGGGAACTCAGCAGCTCCTGGAACAGTGCTATTACTGAGGCTCCAAAGTTGCTGTCTTCAAAATTGTTTTTCCCATACTAGAGTGGGTCAGCTTTAACCAGACTAAAAATCACTCAAGTATCTTACCTGTTCATTCCTATTGTGCTTTACATTTCCATTCTGTGTTCCTACCAGACAATGTCATGAATCTCTCTAGAGGACTAATATAAATAAGTTTTTCCCCATTATTGGAATCCCACCAGTTTGTAAGGTGCAAGAACAGGTGAAGTATGCTTCACTTTCTATCAGGCCTTTGTTCCATTTATTCACTTTGCTTTCCTTCTCAGTTAACTTTAAACAAGAGTGAACTCTTTTGAAGAAGCCCCTGTTCATTCATTTTAGTATTTTCATTTATCTCCTGATGTTCACTGTGGACAGAAAACAAGCATGTGAAAATCAACTAGAATTTAATTTTCATGTTTCTTGGGTATTGTGGTTGTGCAAAAGAGTTTGGCAGATTAAGAGCTTATTTTAACCTTATACCAAATGCTAACTGAATGAACCTGGAAGTCAAAGTATTGGACTTGAGTATTTAGCAGCCTCTGTAGCACACACAGCTCACACCTGAGAGTTGAGAGCAACACAAGAGGCTGGATTTTGGCTCACCAAGCACAAGCCACAAATGCTCATCTGAATGGGGAATGCTCACTTCCAATAGAAGAAGAGTGTCTGTAACCTCAGATAAACAACTGGTAGCAAGCAGCTTGTCATAGTAACATTTGAACTCATCTTTTGATATACACAGCACAGAGGAAAACCCCAGTAATACTCCTTTGTAGTATAAAAGGGGACGTATACCTGAGAAATATTGGTCTTGTAAATGAAAAGAGACTGAGGTTTGTGAGTGCTGTTTTTACTGTGAAAAACCAGGAGAGGCTCCCAGCAGAGGTGTGTGGAGCTCAGTCCTGTGTCTTTTGACAGTGGGCAGGAGGGCAGAGCACTGCTGCTCTGAACAGTCTCTCATCAGCCACTCGCCCTCAGCTGAAGCATTTCTTGAACTCCACATTGTGATTTCCACCGCAGGAATAACAGGGAGGAAAGAGGCCTTGGGTAAATTACTTGATTAGTGTACAGAAATTGTCCAGCTGAAGACTGTTTTGTATGATAGCATAAAACCAGAGCCCATCGACTTCAGAGTGCTTTTAATTTATTGTATATGAGCTATTCTTTCTAGAGCTACCTTGGTGTAATTTTCCCAGGTTTCGCCTGATTTATGTGCCCATTCCTGTAAATGCTAAATGTCCTTCAGTCATTGTTAATTGAGTCTGAGTCAAAGTCACCCACCACCAGAAGTATTTAGCTGCTAATCTCAGTCCTTGTGATCACTATATTTTATTATTCATGTAAGTTTCATCCCTTTACCTGGATTCAGTTTCAGAAAACTTCCTGTTCTGTTCCTCCCATCCTACCTCCTGAGAGACCCAAGTGTCTCAGCATTTCATTCCTCTACATTACACATTACTTTTAGAGTACTGATCAGACCTGCAGATGTTCCCTTACCTAGAAAGCTGATCCTATTTAAAAATCGTTCTGGATAGTGTTTTCTACCTCTTAAATGTAGGTAATATTCCATTTTCAGTTGGTATCTACTAGTGTATTTTATTTTCCTTAAATAAATGCTTCAGTATAATCTCTATTTTCCTCTTACTATGAGTTACCATTTATTGAGCTTAAATAAGCTTAGATGCTGAGATAGATAGATAGATAGATAGATAGATAGATAGACAGATAGATAGATAGATGGATAGATTCTGCTTCCTACATTTAATATAATGTGTTGCTATGGAGATCAGTTCTTCTCTCTCTGACAAATAACACATAAGTCAAAGAAGGTATTGCCAAAATAGTTCAAAGATTGGAAATGTGATATTTAAAAAAAATTGCCACTGAGCTGAAGTATTTATTTTGCTACTCTTTCTGCTGTTCTATTTTTTCTCTTCTCTCCTGAACCAGCTTTAACATCCCTGTTCCTACTAACAGGATTTACAGGAAAGTCCTATTGATGTATTTCCCAGTTTTGCTCCATGAGCTGGATTATATGTTCCAGAGCAATGGAACTGACATTTGTCTCCCTTGTCTTGCACTCTGCTCCGTCATCATCAGAGTCTGAAAGACTTTACTTCATCAAAGAGCCATAATTTAAGGTTTTTTTGATCCTCCATCTCTAGCACTTCACTGGGATATTGTGGCACTCTGGGAAATGTACCAGTTGGGATAACTGGGGAGAAGCTCCTCTCCTTCTGGGATTTACAGACTCATCATTTTAGTTTGTCCTTGGTACTTCTCCAGAACTCTTTGCCATTTTTTGAGTAACTCTACTGGATTAGCAATTTAGGGTTTTGTTCTTGGGGTTTTCTGATTTAATTGGTTAGATGCACTGAACAATCATTCAAAATGCCTACTTGTCAGGGCAGAGCTAGACAATTTGTACCCTGGGTGTGTTCAGACATGCACTGAAACACCAGAATAAGAAGGTATCTCTTGTCTTATTCACACCCTGGTGAGCACTGCCAGTTAACCCCTAACTTGGCAGTGAGGCTGAGCACACAGAAAGAACAGAACAAGGTCATCTATGCAGTGGAAATGGCACGAAGAGCAGGAGCAGTGCATGGAGCTTTCCCAGAGAAAGAACAGAAAAACTGTGCTGACCCTGAAAGCTTTCCCCTGAACCTTATACTGAAAGAGACATTTTCTGAGATTATAATTAATTCATTTTTACTTGGCAAAAGGCTCCTGTGCAGAAGGCTGTGCCTTATTAACCAGCACTACCATGTTTGGTGTATGCATATCAGCACAGTCACAGACATGACTGACTTTCATGTCTGTGATGTAAATTACAACAGTCTTAAGAAAAATTCTGGCTGACAGAAAAGGACATGGTAGAGTTTTCATAGCAAATCACAACGAGCCACTAGTTTGGGACACCTGAAATCCCCTCCTGCCCTATTAGGAAAACTTATTGCTTTCTTTATTGCATATTAATTTAAATTTGGAAGGCAAACATTTCCAAGTTACAGTGAAGTGATGCTCCTTTAAGTATAATAAAGGCATGTTTTTCAAATTTCTCAGAAATGCTGTGCTAACAGAATTTAAATTTATAGAAAATTTGCAAACTCCATTTTTGAGAGCATTTGCTCGAAGATTGAGTACTCCCCAATCATATTCTTTTAATTAGCAAAATAATTTTTCACTTCACAAAATGTTGTCTTTTTCCCTAGCTTGATGGTCTAAGAAATATGGGAAAGTCATAGCCAAATTGGTTCCCCTATTATTCTAGTCTCCAACCAAAATTACTCTAATTTAACTAAATAATTTTATTTCATTATTAAGTACTCCTTTAAAATGCACCTGATTTTAAAAAAAAAAAAAATCTTAAGTGTGTCTCAGGAAATCCAAATTCAAAGTAGTAAAAATGCACCTAAGTAGTTAGTGGAGTTCTAGATTTCATGTAAGTATCAGCAAAAAGCATTTTAGGTGTTCTCCATAGCTGAGAACTCAGGGCAAGGAGGCAAGACCAATAGGATGAGTATATGTCATGTAAGTGAGAAAAAAGAACATTTCTGATATTTGCGTTTAATAGCTCTGGATATTTTTTGTTTAAAATTAATTAGTCTCATGAAAACCGTGTAGTCCATGCTAACAGCTATTCTTGTAATCCTTCCTTCAGTTTTTAATGTTCACATTTGGCTTCACGCTAGAGCTATTAAAATTCCTGTCATTATGTGTCTTTGCCGTTATTTGGAAGAGATTTGGGGAATATCCAGTGCAGCTGAATTTAGCTTCTAAAAAAACAATTTGAATACTTCAGGATTTCTTGATAGTGTTTCACATAAGAACTTTTTAAATGATGGCCTAACATTTGTGTGGAAAATATTCTCAATTTTCTTCATTGAGCAATGTTAATATGCCAGAATAAGTCATGCTTAACCATTCCCAAATAAAAAAGTCAAGTTAGTCACCTGAATTACCTACCTTAATGATAAAGCTGCATCTGACTATGATTGAGGGTTCTCTCTTTACCATTCTTCTGCATGTATTATAAAATTATAATGTTAGGATATTGTATTAGGGAGATTGTTTTTTAAAATGCAATTGAAACAAGCCTCTTGAGGCCTTCAGTCCAAGCCACAGTCAAAACAAGCTTGTGGCCAGCACAGGACTAGGCCAGCATGGATGTGTAGCCAAGGATGTCATCAAAACAGCCTTGTCCTTTCTTATTTTCCTGCCATGGAGAATTTGGCTCTGTCACCTTTGTAAATCCCCTTCAGGTCATAGGATGTTTGAGCTCATCCCTGAGCCTTCCCTTCCCAGACCAAGCAGGCTCAGGTGTCCGTGTCCCGTGCCCTGGGTCCTGGACCATCTTGGCCTTGAGCTGGGCTCTGTCCCGGATCAGAAACTGGGCACAGAGTTCCATTGTTAACCTTCACCAGCACCAAGTGGAGGTGGGGGAGAGCAGTAACAACTGATCCTGGCCTAAGATCTCAGTTCCCCAAATTTCTCTTTTGAAAGCCTTGAGTACATTTTGCTTTGTTTGCAAATTATTTGCAACTCAATATCCATCATTGTGCTTGGTCCTCTCCAGCAGGGCTGTTACTCAGCCAGTCACCCTCCGTGGTTAATCCTGCCTTGTACAGAGCATTTCACTTACTGAACCCTATGGAACATTCTCCAGCTCTCCCAAAGTCTAGTTTCTTCAACCTTTTTCTGCTGGAGGACAAGTCAGTCACCCTAATCTAGAATCATTGCAAGGATACAATTCTGTCTGAGTTCTAGAGGAAAATATCAGGCAATCTAAGCCCCACAGCAGTCCCTGGTATATTTTTAGCAAAGAAGTTGCTGTCATACAGTCTTCATGATGTAGCACATTGCTTGATTTCTTTTTGCAGAAAGAATAATGAAAAAAACATATAAATGACTTATTCCTTGTAACCTCTTACAGTAGGGTAGAATTGTTCTTTGTATAACTCTTCTGAATTTGGACATTATTTTCCTCCTTATTTGCATGAGTAGATAATCTGTTCTTTCACAGTTTAACAATAGCAATCAATATTATTTAAAAGGTTTCATTTTTTTGTATCAAGAAGTCATGACTTTGAGAAGGCAGGATTGATTTTTTAGAACTTTGCTAGCTAATAAGTATCATAATTTTCTTCTATTTTAAAGAAATTCCTTTCTGGTCCATCTAGGTACCAAAAAGCTTCAATGAAACATTATTAGTGTTTAAGAAGAAGCACTGGGCATTTGTCAAAAGCTTTACTGCTAAAAAACTGCAGGGTTTTACTTCAAATTTCTGCAGACTGTGTATTTTAATATTCACCCTGTGCTAAATAAGTGATCTGGCAACTAATTATCTGAATAACTTCATGTCAACTCCAGTGCATATTCAGTGAATATTCAGTATATCTGTTCTGAAGTGCCATAATTCCGAAAGGGACATATACAGCCCAGACTGGAGCAAACTCAAGGCTGGAAGAAGACACCGTTCATGTTCTTTCCCCTGTGCTTATAGTCAGCAGACTTCAGTCATAGCAAGATTCAAGCTTATATTTTCTTTGTATTTTATAAAAAAGCAAAGGGTTTGCATAATCAGAGTTCTCTTCAGGAATGCAGGTGGAATTCAGCTTCTCTTCAGAGCATGGATATGCAGATCTGGGCTTGGACAAGAGATGGCAGCTTGGCCAGGTGCCCGTTGTTAGTCACAGGAGAACTGAGACATTCTTGCTGCCTCTGAGGTTACCATTTTCCCAGTAATACCCCAGAGGAGCCTACACCTTCTTCAGTTAATGAGAACAACTTAAGTTGCCCAGTCTTTTCTGTATTTCTCTTTCTGTCATTCTCTCTCTCTTTCTCACACTCATGCTCATCACTTTCTGGGAGCACAGCAGGCATGTTTGACATTTTGCCAGTAGGAAAGATGGCAAAAATCACCTTTGACTAAAATAATTTTTTAGGTAGGTTCTTAATGTGAAGTGTTGAGTGCTTGCATGTCAGATGATTGTCTTTTCCTAAGGGTTTTGGAGAGTAAGAACACAATCCTGAAGGACTTGCACAGTCATGTAGCATCTCTTCTTTTGTGTCTTATTGTTTGCTGATGACAGAAGAGGGATGGACTGCTTTGGTGCTTTCCCAAATACCATAGCCATGGGTCAGGTTTTCTTTTAGATTGTTAAATCTGCTGGCAGGTTGCATATGTGGAGGGAGTCTCTTGGCGAGTGAGCAGGTGGACTTATCCATCATTGTTTAAAGTTGGCTCAAGTCCTTTTGCAGAACCATTTCCATGTTGTTATCCTGGGTAACTTGGTAGCTTGAGGGCTGGACAGTCAGTGCATGTGATCCCTCCCAGGATTTACTTTCAGACTCTTTGCTGGTTTATATCCACCTGCTTCCTTTTGGAAATGTGGTGAGACTGTAGGACTAGGAGCCGTCACTGCTCTGTCAGTGATGAATTACCAGCGTGCTTGTCATTCTCCCTGATCTTGCCATGAATGCTTTATGCTGCCTTTAGCAGATGTTCTTTGATGCAAAACTTGCGAACTAGTTAGGATAAAATTCTCATCTGACTCAGTTTAGTAAACTTTTCTAGTCCCAGCCTCAGAATTCAAAGTGTGGATTCTTCTGTTTTTCACAAACAGAGCTGGAAAGCCTGGAACACTTCCCTTCCATTAAGTCTGAATGCTCTTTATTAAATATCAAAATATCAGGAGAGACAAGTTACTGAAAAGGTTTTCATAAGAAACATTTGTCCTCAAGCTGTCCAAAGTAAGGCTGAGGTGTCCAGTGAGCTGCCAAAGGCTTTGATTTGGGTCCTTGGCTTTCTTTTGGGCAGTTTCGCTGCCTGCTGCTGGCATTATTTTAGATTTTCAGAATTATTTTAGGAATTAATGGCAAGATCAATCAACACTGGAAGAAAACACCAGCATAATTTAGCTATATTCTCAGTGCCTCAGTGTCCTTCATGCTCTGATAAGCCACTTTGTCCAAAGTCTGCTGGACAGTAGGAGAATATTATATATCCCTCACCATATCTTTGAAACCTTTTCCTTCATCAGCATCAAAGGAATCTTTTTGTGCATTTGAATTGGAACAAAAGATTTCTTAGCCACCTTTCCTTCTATTTATGTAGATTTTATTTTAACACTTGAACAGCCATGCTTATTTACAGAACACTAATATAATGAATTAATCTTCTGCTTAATTTTATTAAACCTCTATTATCTAATAGTGTTTTCTTATTTCTCTCTGTTTAAAAATAATGATGATAAGCATTTTCTCTGCTGTCTCAGGTGCAGCACTTATAAGAACAGTTTTTACACATATCACAGAGTCATAGAACAGTTTGGTTTAGGAGCCATAATGATCATCTAGTTCCAGCTCCCTTGCAAGGAACAGAGGCATCTTCAGCAAGACCAGGTTGCTCAGTGCCCCATCCAGCCTGACTGTGAACACCTCCAGGGATGAGGCACCCACCACTTCTCAGGGCAACCTGTTCAGTTTCACCACTCTGATCATATTTTTTTTTTCCTTATATCTTAATCTAAATTGACATTCTTTTAATCTGTAAGCAGTAGCCCTTGTCCTGTCATCTTCCTCATGAAGTCTGGCAAGGCAACTGAAAATCCTAGAATATAAATGTTTGAGAAATTTTATATGTTTGGTAAACATCTTAAAAAAAAAAAGTGAATGTTAGCTCTGATAAAAGGACCAATAAAGAGTTCTGGGAAGTGGACAATGTTGGCCAAACAGTGCAGGCAGATTCAGATCTCCCTGAAAAGCTGCAGGGATTTCTCCTGTGGGGGTGATCTCCACAGGCAGCTTCTCGTGGTTTCTGTAGTCACACTGCCAGCTCATATTGCTTGTGGCACTGCTTTGTTAAGAGAGGATTTTAAAAATGGTGAGTTGAGCTCAGAAAGGACTCCTGAATTTTTAGGGTAGTTGAGTACCAGGAGATTGCAGCGCCTTTGGAAACTGTGTAGCTTGGCTCTTGTGAGCAGGAGGAGGAACAGAACTGAGGTTGTCAGTACTCTCTTTGCCATCTGCAACCATCCTTCTGTAATTTTAGCTACCAAGAGGCAAACAAGCCTGGTCTCTCTCATACTGCTTTCAGATCATTGTAGTTTCCTTTCAAGTAATGTGAAAGAAAAACTGCTGTATTAATAAGGAAATATTTTATTTTCTGTAATCACACAAAGAATAACAATATTTTAGAGTGACAGGGTAAGGCAAAGAGGAGTAGTGTAGCTGAAAGTCAGACTTGAACATTTAGTAGAAAAATGAGGTTTTGGATGCATAGAATTCCTGTTTAGGCAGGTTCAAACTAATTTTATGAATCGCTCACCCAGCTCAACTTTCTTTTTCTATCTCATTTTCCTTTTACAAGCTAAAAACAAATATAGAAAACATCAGTAGACCTTGAAAAACACATTAAGATTGAGCACAGGGCTCTTCCTTTTTTTGATATATCTCAGCTAAATTGAAACACCACTATATTTTTACGATGACAGCTTTCAAGAAAATATGATATCAAGTTTAACTTCAAAAAAAGACTGTTTAGTTCAGGAATTACATTCAATTAGGAATTTATGTAATGATATGCTATAGAATACGTTGCAAAGAACTATAAAACCTACAAAAATGGAATGCAGCATACCAAATTATTTAAAGCTCTGCATGTGTGTTGCTATGTCTTTACAGGTTGTTAATTTTTAAGTTATAAACCAGAAAGAACCTACAGCCAAAGGCATTCATAATGATGTTAGATTTGAGCATATGCTATTGGATTTGTGAGCACTTACTTCCAATTTTTTTTTTAATTTTTCTTAATACTTTTGGGTATGAATTGACATTTCCATCCCCAAGAACAGAAGTTTCAAACAAATTCCTTAGTCCATAGCAGTAGCCAAGCAGCTCTGTGCCAACACTTCAGCTATGACATGGTCTTTTGTATAGGAGGATCTGAGTTAGAAAAGTAGATCTAATTAATTGGTCCCAAAATTCAGAGGTGGAGGTAGCTAGCAGTTTGGTCAGACCTACTGATACCTTATCACATGCTCATGGTGCCTACTGAATTCTGTGGTGCTTGGAAATAAAAACAAACTTCACTTTCTTAAATGAGAAACATATGAGGTTGTCCAGTTTCTGGGAAGGGTCTGAAACTTCCTGTCCTGCTTAAGGCACAAGGCAGGATTTTTCTATGGTCTTTCAGCATGAAATCCTCATCTTTATGTCTTTTATGTCCCTGCTTATCCTGTCTGCAGGACATAGAAAAAGCATATTTTCCAAAATTTACCTTCTGCAATGCTTCTTACATTTGATTCTGATCTTCACATGAAAAACTCTCTTTTTTCTGAACGCTATAAAACTTGAAGAGTCGCTTAGATTTATTTTCTTCTTTCCAAAAAAGGCTGAAATCCAAGCTTTCTTCCTATTTGAATGAGAGCTTAGGACAGCCACTCTAAACTGAAAATTGTTTGCTAGTTACTGTTTTAACCAGATAGAAACATTAGTTTCAGCCATAAATTCTTGCAGAGTATTGCTAGAAGTTACTGTCTAAGCATAAGCCATCACAAATTCATTTCACTTCCAGGAACTTTTACATTTGCTCTTTCCAAAGCAATTCAGTGAAAAATGCGACAGTATCATAAGTACTGAGAGGCAGAGATCTGATAATTCAGGATGCAAATTGTTTCTGCTAAAATTTACTAAAGTATGGCTTTGATTGATGTCATGACTGAAAACTGCCATGACTGATGGCATTTTGATGGTGTCTGTGAAATGGAACGACCTGAGGCTTGAGATCATCCATCATGTGCAGATGCTTACTTTACTGCAAGGGTTCCCCCTCCTAAAAAGTGGCTTGCCTGGATGGGTTAGACTTGGAGCACCAGCATTCTTCACGACATCCTGACTCAAAGCTAATTGAAGAAACTCAGCACTGCCAGGTCTGATGCTCTGCACAAGTTTTAAGTTTATTTTAGAATTTTTCAAGAGAAATAAAATGTTGACACATGGGTGTTGCACACAGGTCTCCTCTTTTCTCAAAAATCTGCACCAGTGGAGATCTCTCTGGCATTTAGAATTTACACGTTGTTTAGTCGTGGCAGGATTGTTTTCTGCACTCGGTGTTGTTATGAGGTTTTGCACCTAAAAGTTCGAAGTTTCTTTTCTCCAACTGAAGTTCCCCTGTAATTAGAATATTTCATTTACTGAGGAGTGAGGTGCTGTTAAGTGATGCTCCATGAGGGACTTTGCTGCTCACATTGATACACCTGTAAGGGCTTAGATGACTATGCTGAGAGCCACAAGATAAAAAGGTAATATGAGAGTGCATAGATAAGACAGTGTATTGTGCACTGTTATTCTGCTATATAGTGTGTGTGATAAGTTGTGCAGTGCCATTTAATTCAGACTTACTATGCACAAGATTGATAGATTCTGTTTGTAAATAGCCAAGTACACTGACACAGCCAGTCTTAGATTAAGGAAAAAGAAAACCCAAGGGATTGTTTAGCACCCTGCAGGCCTTTTCAGTCCATCAGGACCACTTTCCTGACCAGATTATTGTGTGGTGCCTGACCATATACCCAATTTACCTGTTCATATCCCTAGGAGGGCAGAACTCTCCTCTGAAGGTGCAAAGGGTGACCAAAGAGGAAACAGCTGCAGAGTGGAGGGGTTGCTCTTATTTCAAAGTAGAGACTAAGCTAAGACCTTTGCCCTTAGTTTGAGACATGTGGCAGCTGTGAGAGGCAGGAACTTGGGGCGTGATGGGCATGTGATGAGGGATGGGAGAGGGAAGAAATAGGGAGCCAAGTCTTAAATTAAGGACTCAAGCACATTCAAAAGAAATATAGGTTGGAACAGAGGAGGGACTTGATAGCATGAAAGGAGAAGACAAATTTGCATTTTTAGGACCCAGCTAGGTCCAGAATGTCTAAACCCTAGCCTAAAAGCAATTTTCAAATGTTAGCTTATTTTTAAAAGTATATGTGTGATATTCCAGTTCAGTAATACTAGATGTCACCTGGGGGAAAGTTAAGATCACATGTTAAATTTTCATGCTGTCATAACTTGACTGTTATTCAAGAAATATTTTTACCAAGGAGATTTGTATTTGCCTGAGTGACTCAACATGCCAGGTGACTGAAGTACCTTTAGTCACATCCTTTTCTCTAACTAGATGCAAGTTGCTCACTCTTTTATATACCATGTATAATTAAGAAAAAATATTTCTCCTTTATAAAAATATCCACTCTTGCTAAAAATAACTTTTTAAAAATCAGTGTTGTAAAAACTCAACAAGCAGAACTTCTCACTTGATCAGAACGTGTTTCTGCTTCATAATCTCCCTGTGATATTGCCCCATTCTCCATTCAGAGCCACCTTTTGCCCAGCACAGTTGGGTGACACTGCCCATGTAGCCCTGTAACAGGTATTGCCATGGCTAAAACAGACCATAGGCTCTGGATTGAGTTTTCAAGGCCTCAGGACTGAGGCTTGATTTGTTTACTCCCTCTGAACTTCTACTGACTTGCCTGCAGCCTTTATTTCCCTGTTTTATCTGTGACAGTAAATTCTTTAATTGAACAGGTACCTTTGGCTAATTTTTTAAAATTTGTTTCTCTTTGTGTGGTACAACCTACAGCTTTATACTGTATATTGTTTATAGGTATCAGTAACAAAAAGTTACAGGAGAACTATAGAATAAGTAGGAGTTGTGTGGCAGAGTAGAACAAGATATTTACGGTTCTAACAGAGCAATGTCATACAGAAAAATGCAGACTTGGAACGATAGCAGATGCTTTGAGAGATGGAAACAGGATGGGCACAGATTCATGCAGGCCTGAAGTGATGAGTGTCAGGGCACAGGTGAACACTGAGCCCCCATGGCTGTAGACAGCTCAGAAGTGGGCAGTCAAAGAAGTGCAGACATGGAGATGGAAAAAAGTGGGTTGAGGGTAACTCAGACAGCACAGAAGTAGTATCTAACATATGCAAAAGTCATCTTGTAAGAAAACTTGGATGCGTGGAGCTGCAGACCTGTGAAAAATGAGCAATGCTTCAAAAACATGTTACCAGGCATTTAAAAATAACCTAAGTGCATTCTGGAGTGAGGAAGAAGAAACTACATGGATATCATGCTAGTCCTAGTGCACAATGCCTAATAAAAATTGTCTGTCACTGCAAGATGGGAATGTATTATTTTGTTTTTCTTGTAGTTCTTTTTGAGCCATCTTCGCATATTCTGCCCGTAACATTAAAAACATAAATATTAAGAAGCTGGTTTGGCTGAAGGTGATCTAGAGTTCTGTTCTGCTTCAGTGTTACACTAGCTGGGAATAAAGTCAGGTGAAATAAATGTTTGTTCAGTATTAATGAACAAAAATGTACTCTACCTTGGCATAAGACAACTAAACCTTAATGACAAATAGCTGCATATTTTTGTTCCTAGCACACCATCATATATCGACCACAGCTTTAAATTCTTGTGTTAGTCTTCATTATGCATGAAATGACACAGATCTGTTGATAAAAGTCTCTTACCTTTAATAAGGTAACAGAAATGAGAAATTTGGTGTAATTGCATAGTTTTAAGTCAGAATGGGATTTCTAGCATCTAAGCTGTGTTTGTCAAGATGTCTCAGAATCTGAAAGAGCAGAAGAGGCTATTAGTTTTTGTTCTGGGCACTAAATTGGTAGAGGTGTGAGATACCCCTGGCACAGTTCAGTATCTGCTGTGTCTGGCACGTCTCTGAAACCTCCCCACACATGGGTCTGCACACAGCTGGGCAGGAAATGTGGCTTCAGCTGAACCGTGCACTGATCAGGCTTCCAAATGAAGATGGAGCATAATTAAAGTCAGTGTAAAATAACCCACAAGGCAGTAACACATTTCAACAGGCCCTAGCTCTTTTGGCATTTATATCATAAAAAAACATATTTTCTCCTGAGGGGTGCAAACCCCAAAGGTGTTTGATCTGACCTAGCTGGGGAGGCTCATGACCTCCAGAGAGATGTGCCATGCCTTGCAGTATTCAGCTGTAAGGATGAAAACATGTTCCTGTTTCTTTCTGTCTCGCTGCCACAGACAGCAGCCTGGCTCGGGGCCTCAACTCACATGCAGAGAACAGCAGCAGAAAATAATAATTCTCTTCTGCAGAGGCAGCAGTGCTTTGAATGTCACCTCACACATCAGCTACTTTTTTTGCCTCTCATGCATGGAAGTACTTGCGTTTCCCAGAGTGGTAGAATTTTTTTGCCAGCTCTGTGAACTCATCTGTTTGAACCAAATGAGCTTTCAGGTGGTAAAGGTGTCTGAACAGTAGACAATAAAGGCCACCCAGGAGTTTTCAGACCTCAGGTAGGACATTTCTCCTATTTGGACATGAACAGAACAAAAATTATGGCCAATTCAGGGCAAGTTCTTTTTCCTTCATGAATGCATAGTAATGGGATTCCTGCTGTCCCAGAGGCAAAGGGCTGGTTTGGGATAATTAGTGAGTTGGTGTGTAGGTGTTTCAAAATATTACATCACGTTCCTCTGTTCCACCAGGACTGTGTGACTGAGAGAGTAAAAGAAAAAATCTGTCATTTCATTTAGAGTGGCTGCTGAGGCAGAAGTTATACTACAATGTCCATAAATTCATTCATTATTATTTCTCCAAAATGAGAGTAATATAGTGGGTCTAGGAAAATATTTGTGGTCAGGAGGAAACAAGTAGGTATCCTCCACTAATACAGCTTCCTGGTATTGGTCTGGGTGGTTTGGAGGAAATGTGGGACTTCATGAGTAAAAACCCCTTCTGGGAGAGAGAGTTCCATCTGCCAAAGTCTGTATGAACTTTTGTGGGTATAAACCATGAGCAGGATGAAGGTGAACTGTTCCAGAGAAGCCCCTAAGCAGACAGCAGAGGCACTGGGTCAGTCCCTCTGCACCTGAAGTGTTCAGGGTGTGTGGAGGCTCCATCATTTTCTCACTGACCCAAAGTGATCAGCCACTACTTAATCCATTTTTCCCATCTCATCATCTTGTAAATGAATGGGGCATATTTCTCTGAGAGGCTATAAGACTGCTGAGACAGGTATTTTTAGTTTGACTAGAGTAAGTATATATGCATGGACTTCAGATTCCAAACATACTTCCCATTTTATTTACAGAAGATACATAGAAAAAAAAACAGAGGGACTGTAATCAGGAATGAACCAGAATGAATGAAAAGCCTGTTAAAATATAAAGCAGCATGTTCACCAGGGTAAATAAATTGGTAATAATGCTACTCTGTCAGTATTTCTCTATACTTTTCTTCTCAGGCATTCCTAAATCTCTGATGAAAAAGCAATTGCCTCAGAGCAAAGGAACAGTAGAAAAAATTTGACATAATATTATTTAAGCATTGGTTTCAATTTGAAATATTTCTGGTGTTTTCCACTGTTGCTTTGCTCATCTTCAACAAAAAAAGACAAATAGTTTTATAAAGCAACCCCGAGGAGGTAAAAATCTCTCATTTGAGCTCAGCTGTTCAAATTTAGACTCCTCTGAGCTGTACATTTTCCCTCCCACTGTCGTGCTGGGAGGCAGCAGGAGGGAAGGCTTGGAAGGAAGGGTTGCCTTGCTGCCCCTGCTGCTTGCAGCCCTGCGCTCCTACCTGACCTCTGAGCGTTTGGTTTCTGCTGAGAAAAGGCTCTGCACAGCTGCTGATGGGCATCTGTGGGGCTGGCAGGGTCCTGGTGCTGCTGAGCAGCTCCGCAGCCCCAGGCTAAGGTGGGCATTGGGCATTGTCCTGCCTGTGCTGCTGGTAGGACACATCTGGGCAGCTGGGACCAGCACTGGGTGAGCACACGGTGGACTTGCACAGCTTGTGCAAAAATAAAAAACAGCAGCTGAAGCAAGGGAGGAGGAAAAAGGATGGAAATGGTGCGTTAGGGATTCAGTTTCAAAGCATAATGCTGTTTTAAGGTACTAAATATAAGGTACTAAAGAGACTGATGGCATAAACGTGTTTTCAGAACTGCGTGTTCAACATATCCTGAACTACAGAAGCATAACTGAACAAGAATGAGTCAGGGGTGTGCACCTTTAGACACCAAAATGCCTTTTAAAAACTTTTAAATTTAAAAATTTAGCTTTCAGTGTTTTACATCTATATTGTAAAACTTTGACACCTCTGAACTTCTAAGAATTTCAGCCTTCATATTCTTTGCCTACCTAGGCACTCCTGGTATTATTTCATTGGTATAATTAAACAACAGGAAAATTACAGGTAATTCTCTAATTGGAATACTATGATTTGATATTTTCTAAAGTAATTTTTAAGAATTCTAAAACTGTTCTGGGCTTCATGGTCTGTAGTTCATCAAGAGCATTGAAATAACAGATGTTAATAAATTCAATTGAGTGCTTATTAGTGTGTTTTACAGGTATTTTCAATGGGTTTGACTTTATTAAAATAAAAAATGGATGGTTTTTGTTATGACATAAAAAAGTACAATAAATTAATGGTTATTTTTCTTGGCTCATTGAAGAGGTAGCAACTTGATATTGCATTGTTACTGCTGATTATTTCTGCAGTGAGAACATGTATCAATTTCCTTTGAAGGAGTAATGGCAGATAAGAATTTATTCCAAATATACCACCAGAAAACCTTAGCCAGTGGAGGGAGTAAAACAGTTCCAGAATGAGCAAAAGAAATAGGTCATTCCATAAAAATTCCTGTGTTATAAAACTACTTCTGGTAGCTGAATAACTGCTCAATACCACAAACAGATGCTTAGAAAGTTTTTCAATACTTAACCAAAATATTTTCACCTGGTGTATAAGTGCATATGACAATAACGTTCAGACACTGTGCAGAAAATCTGTTGTCTTACAAGCATGTTAAGAACACCTATAAGAACAAAATTCAATGGAACATTTACACTATCCAAAATGAACAGTGAATAATTCAGCAGAAATTAAGAGAAATGCCACCAGAAAGAAAATTTATATTTCAAGTCTAACTATATTTGCTTGCTTTTTCTGAGATCAAAC